GTGGTGGTGGTGGTGGTGGTGGTGGTGGTGGTGGTGGTGGTGGTGGTCCGATTGCAGTTCCAACGGCACACAATTTCATTATAGAATGTCCTTTCACCAAGCATCTGGCCATATTTTTCCCTAACTCCTTTTGGCAGTCTTCTTTCGCGCAGGGTGCATCGTGTTGCCCATCACTTTCAGCAATGGTCGACGTGACTGACTTGGACGTGACTTGACAGTTTTTGGTCGAATCATCCTGCACCTGTCGTTCCAAAGCGGTCATCCAGTTACACCGTTACACCGTTACATCTCTTCGAAAAATTTGCTACCACCCCTTCCCATTCTCACCACCTCACCACCTGTGACTTCCTGCTTTGTTTTCCGCTGTGCCTTCCAAAACAACACCTTCCACCCACCCACCCACCCATCCACCCACCCACCTACCCCGCCGCGCCCGGGCTCGGACTCCCCGCGCGGCCATCGTTGGTCACCACGGAGATCTGCTGCTCCACGAGCGGCTCGAGGCCGGTGCTCGTCGCCTCAGTCCAGAAATCGTGTATTCGACGCCTTCGGTGCAAACGAGGAGTGAGATCCCAGACCATACGTGCATGACCGGAGTGCCAGAGCAGATTAGAGGGAGGCGGAGGCGAAGTGTTTGGTCCAAAGACTGGTGGTGCTAAAGTGGCAGTCAAATCGCTTGGCGTAGTTGGAGTCTTTCTTTGAAGTGAATTGCCTTTTTGCCCCTTTTTGAGTTGTTCTAGATTTTCACCTTGGGGTACAAAATGGTACACTCTATTGGAGGAGAGCACTGTTGGGCACTCTTTGGGAGATGAACTTCCAATGTCAACTTTTTTGTGAACTCCAGGTTCTTGTGGGGCTCAAACCGCTGGTAGACTAACCTTGAACCATGACTCACGGGCTTCCTGGAAGCCACTTGATCAGGCCAATAAATAAAATATAAACATGAATTTCTCACTAGCGATCCCCAACTGCCCAACTCTGGGGCACCCCAACTGCCATCTCGACAGCACGGCCGGCCCTGTCCAAGCAGTTGGGTCCGGCGGAGAGAGGCCGAGTTCGGCTCACCAAGAGGTCGAAGTTGGATGAATTCGGGCCGAATGCCCCGAACACCGCCTCTGTGCTTGCGGGGTGTCCGTTCTCCGCTTTGCAACCAAGAACCTCCGATCAAGCAAGGCCACCCTTTTCAATCCAAGAACCTCCGATCTTCCGGTGCACCCTGCCGTCGTCTCGTCTCGCGCTGTCTCACGCACGCACGCCTCCTTGCGCCCCGCCCGCGCTGACTCCCAGGCGCCTCCCCCCACCGGGCGGGTCGCCGAAGAGATGTCCGATCACTTCGACCGCCCCGGGTGGTTCTTCTGGAGCCCCAAATCACGCGGCGGGTGCTTCGGTCGTCTCCCACCCTTCGCGCGTGCGGAAGACGGAAGACGGAAGACCGTCGTTCCGAAGCTGGGTTCTCCGTTGCAGGTCTAGGAATGGCCGGTTCGGGCAGCGGCTGCAGGTGCTGAAGGCAGGTGTGCGTTGGTGCTTGAGTTTTGAGGGGGTTCTCACAGAGGGCGGTAGTTTTCGACCTGGCTGGCTTCGGTTTCGGGAGGGGTTCTGAGGTGTTTCTGGGTTTACAAAGTCTCTGGTGCCGGCTTTGTGTTCCAAAGTTGTTGTGCAAAAGAACACAACAAGAGGTCCAAATGCATCCGAGCATTGAACTATTGTTTTTCTATTATTATTGTCTTGCGACGAGCCAAATCATACTTGTCTGATCAAACACATCCGGTGGGAAATACGGCGAGTGGGGTCTGGATTTCAAGACATGAAAGCACGTTGGTGTCTCAAATCAACACTCCCACTCCATTTTCCGCAAACCATGTCGCGTCAGCAGCCTTTGCTGCGTCTCACTGGAAAACAAGACTCCGCGACAGCCTAAAGGAATCTCCGGCTGGATAACTCTCAGCATGGATAATCTGGCAATCCATCCCCACTGTGTGATGAGGCAACATGCACAACGCTTGCAACATGTTGTGACAGGCACCTGCTTCCACAACCCTCCAACAAGGGACGCAATGACTTCCTTGTCCTCCCTGCGGACACTCTTCCAAACCCCCACCCAACTCCGACCTCGCCTGTCACCGACCTATGTCATGAAAGTCAAACCCACCCCTTGGCTAGCAGATCGTTGGGCAAAACTTTCCTCATCGAAAGCTCCTTAGGCATATCCTACCAGTGAGATGCATCAGGCAGCGTTTGTGGCTCGCACATCGCGAGCTTTGTGGGGATGATGCAGCAAGCTCATGATGTCCATGGTCGTGGCTGTCATGGTCGTTCCGGAGATGAGCCCGGGGCACCAGTTAGGTCCCATGTCAAGTTGACTTGGAGGAATCCTGGTATACACGGCCCTACAACTTGGCCCTGCTGAATCAGGAATTATCAGAGGCAACTCCTATGGCAACGCCGATCTGGGTTGATGTCTTAAACTGATTGCTCCATCAGTCTGAATCTGTTTCCAACTTTGGCGTTTCAGGGATGGTCATGAATGTTCTGAAGAACCAACTCCTCTTTCAGGGTCTTCCACGTGGGCAAACTGGCGCACTTGACACAGTCTCACCACCCGTCGCTGTGGCACATCACACTGGGACGCTGGGGGGGGGTTCAGGGGCAATCTTTGGGCCCCATGCTTCTGATGTCTTCACAGAAACCAACAGGGAGGGGGGGTTGAGTTGAATGGTACTGGTACCTTTAGGAAGCTTGCTCACATCATCCCACGGTCTGGGTGGCCCGGTGGATTGGGCGCTCCGCACCAGGTCTCCGCCGGTCGCGAGTTCGCGGTGGCGACGGTGAGTGACAGCGGAGCGTCGGTGGGTGTGAGCCGGCCAAGCGAGAGAGCGGCTGTGGAGAATGTCAGAATTCAGAATTCATATGATTTGCAGGCATACAGATACTACCACCAGTGACCCAGCACTTCTTGTACACATACTACCCACCAGTGACCCAGGACTTGTTGACCCACTAAAAAAATAAAACTCCTGAGGAAGGCATCTAGTCATCTGACAGTAGCGCGTTCAATGGTGACCAATGGTGTCCAGTGTAGTGTTGTCCATTGGTCACCCCTTAGAAGCAAACATACATATACTCCCTGAAAAGTGGTTCGGAAAATATGGAATGTCATTGAAAGACGTGGATATGAATGTCAAGAAGACCAATCCCTAAATCATGGATGGCACCGGTGATTATATTTGCGTTCTCAATTTCCCGTATCGGAGAAGGTTCGGAACTCCGTTCCCGTTCTTCCGGTGACGTGGAATGCTCAAGAATCGGAGTGTGGATAGACTCATAGACTCTGCCAGGCAGTGCTCCAAAATTGGGGATGCAGGATGACTTTGAGAAATGTCAGGAGCAACAACCTTCAAACAATAACAAAAGCTGCTCTTTGGATTCCATTGGATTTCTGGTTTCTTCAACTCCCAGCACCAAGTGATTTCTGTCGATGAGGCCGCCAGGGATTTCTGCTCACCTGCCAAGCACCACACCCCCCCTCTTCCGGCGGCGGCTCTCGCGTCGCCGTCATGGAAGTGGCCTGCAAAAGGAGAGCAAAGGGGAAATCGACTGGTCCCACAGGGAGTGGTGGAATGTAAAAAAGAATGAAACATCTACCAAATCTATTCAGTGCATACAGGTTGTTGTTGCAGTCCATGCCACGAGGAGCATCCTCAAAGGCAAAAACTCAGAGACGGTACTTGAATATCCCGACACCTGACACAGAATATTAAAGACCTATCAAGTCGAGACCTGCTGGTTGAGGTCTGCCAAGTCCAAACGCCCAGGCGACAGCGGGATCTTGTATCATCGATCGCAGCCACATGGACCCCCACCAAGTGGCTGATCTGGCCAATTGTTTTCCTGCCCTCGTCTAGAAGGCAAAAACTCGGTTTTCTCCCGAGCCTATCGTCGTTTCAAGATTTCGAAGACCAGCTCCACGTTGGAACGGCCCATCTCCTTCCCACCGGGAGAAGTGGCGTCGATGCGGAGGTGGATGGTGGAAGGAACCTGGGGGTGTTCGACATTGGTGCTGTGCTTGTGGATGGAATTCAATCTGTGGCTTTTCCCTTTGACCATCCGATTTCAACTTGTAGCAACTGGTCGAATTCCGTCATGTTCAGGACATGAAGTCTTGACTTGCATGAACCAGCCAGTCTCTCCCAGGACATGAACATGAGTCTAATGTAGACTCTTGATGAATAAACCCCCCATATGAAGAGCATGTCCAATTCAAATGGGAGGGGTTATTCATCAAGAGTCTACAGGAACATCCAGACAACATCCAAACACCTTCTCTCCTGGACCGCCCTTAAGATGGCACCTCTGGACCGTCGAACACTTCGTTTTCCGCGTACTGCGTAGCGTTGGTGCGATGGTTGGTCGGAAGGAAGAAGGGTGCGACGGGATCCTGAGGTCTCTACAGGGGTGCTGAGTTCCTTCCCAACAAAGATGCCCTACGAAATCGGACCTCGTACCGAAAAGAGAGAGAAAAGCTCCAGCCCAGAGGCGACCTTGGACCCGAACCAACTGCTACATGTTGGTTCGGTCCATGTTACCCTCGTTGTGAGGGTCCAAACCCTGAGGCGAACTGGGTTCAAACCCTGAGCCTTTGGTTTCGGTGTCCCTTCGTCCTCGAAGGCTGGTGTCTTGGAGACGGCATCAAAGTTCCGAAGGATGAAATCCATGCCTCGCTGCCCGTCCGCGCCGACGCCCCGCGCCGACCGGGGACCGGGAGTTGCAAGGGTGTGGAGTGGCCGGGAGTGGCGGGAGTTGAGGTCTTGAAATGGACGAGGCAGGCGAGACCTGCTGGTTCCTCAATGTCAAATCAAAGAGAACTCTATTTGTTAAACATTTTTACACAGTTGGCTTCACTGAAGCTGAGTGTTGGCTTCACGGTCATGTCTCGTGCCGCAATTCTCCAACACACGCAGACGCAAAGACGAAAAGAAATCAAGTCCTACTAAGGACGTTTGTCCCCTTCAACAGTCATCTGGGGCTCACGGACAGCTCTGCCGTAGGTCATTCGCAATGTGCATGTTGGCAGCCTCATAATTGGTTTGGTGTTTGGTGGGGAATTCTGGATGTTGAGAGAAGCTTTGGATGCTGGAATCATATCAGAGTGGCTGAAAGGACATTTGTTGAGAGGATCTCTCTCACAGACTTCAAGCAAAAGGCTTAGCCCCTCCGTCATGTCCATGGGAGGGCACTGAGTGCTTTCAGAACTCCATCAGCGTGGAAAACCAGGCGTCGGTGTTCTCCCATTTGGGTCGACACAGGCTGAGCATTGCGGCACCGAACGAAAAGCGCTGTGGGCTTTCCAGGGCTTAATCGGCTCGTTGCTTTCGCCCAAAAAATGGGGAGGCCCAATTCACAACTCAAGTTGGTCAGTCCATGTTCTCTTCAATACCGCTCAGTGGGGGAACCGGGAAGTGGAAGTCGTTCCTATTCAAAGACACATCGAAGCCTGCCCGGCATCCAAAAAAGGGAGCTTGAGTGGAACCCACATGGTGAAACGAAATGGCCCATCCTTCCAGACAAGCGGTGAGTGACCCCAAAACACCACCTGAGCCTAAATCCCCTCATCCACCCCGAAGCGATCGGAGCGAACAAAGGACGAGCTCGATGCCGCCTGGAGGATTGTGGCAGCGCTGTCAATGTTGATTGAAACTAGGATCTTCTTCTCGCATAACCTCCGGCATGGCTCAGGTTGGAGAAGAGTCCACAGAACGTAAAAAGATCTTCTGACTATTCCGGGACTTCTAGATTGAGACTGGTGCCATGATCCGAGCTTTTCGCTTGAAGGCCCAGCAAGTGTCCAGCGCTTTCTCAGGTAAGCCGTGCAAAAAGAAACGCTTCCAAGCTAGCGTATGAATCAAGCACTTTCAACCCCAGATCGCATGTCTTAGGAATCTTGAGCGTTCACAACCTAAACTTGCACTGTTGCACCTCGTCTTGTAGTATCCAACAAGTATCACGTGAATGTCGGACAATATTACTTATTACCCGCCAAGGATGTCTATTATTTGGGTGGGCCCCTATCAGTTTTGCAGTCAAATCACTTTTTCAAAAACAATGTCCAGCCGAAGACTACTGCTGACTTACAGTAATTTTGGCAGGTACTCACGTAAGATAAGACATAAAACATATTAAAACTGGTCTAAACTGGTGATGCCGATTTCAAGGAGGATGACCCCCACATCGAAGTCAAAGCATCCGCGAATGTGCTCCTGGCGGAAGCCCTCAGTCAAGTCCGCACCGTGCGTGGACTCCGAGATTTCTTGCCCTTTCAATCCACCATGAAACATGAAAGCCACTAGAATCACTAGACTCTCCCAAAAAAAGTAGAAAGAAAACACCCCCTATCGTGTCGATCAGTCATCTGCCTCTTGAGGCGTTCGATCCCGAATTGGTCCGCCGCCACAAAGAGGTCCATTGCCTTGGCGAGTCGCGGCGGTTTCCAGGTGGTGTCTACTGTATATGAATAGTCCCTTAGATCATTGATATCCCTTACGGGTCCAGGTGCAAGTTTGCTTCTTTCTGGTTTCAAAAACTTGGTTGTGGTAGAGATTCAGATTCCCAAGTTCAAAGAGATCAGCTCTCCATTTCCAGTACATGTTTCGATCAGGGCTTCACTGCTGGTCTAGCTGGGGCAGTCCTGGAGCACGAAACGATTGAACATCGCCATCATTCCCTGTCCATACCAGGACCCTCTGGGGGTATACTTGGCTAAAGGCGCACGCACACAAAGCACCAGTCCACATATTCGCAGCAAGCACCCGTTTCGCCACCGCGGCCACCAGTTTCGCGGCTGAGCCCCCCGGGCGATGTCCATGGAAATTTCGAATTCGTCGGTGTAGAGGTACCTCGGACCGTGATCTTTGACAATGGCTGAACGAAAAATCTGTGCGTCCCCTCAAGTTGTGTGAAGGAATGCCCCCCAAGGAACGTATTTGAACAATTGAATCTGAATGTAGTTGAACAATAAGAATGCCCCCCAAGTTGTGTGTGTGTGACAGAGATGCGGACTCAAGGACTCCAGGCCTAGACAAAGCACCCTCCTGACCATGGTCTTTCGTGTCCAGATATTGATGGATCGGTACGTAAGGGAGAATCTATGCCATATATGCCTACATTGACCCCCCTGCAACCACCCCAATGTAGGTAACTATGCCAGTCTCATGGAGTCTCTGGGAAATGGTACAGGATCTTCGACCCCCCGATTCCTGTGAGGCGGAGGTCATCCTCTCAAAAACGCAGGGAGGCTAGTCATCAGGTCGGTGTAGAGGCATTGGACCGTCAGAAAAAGACAGCAACACATCTAAGTCTGCCAGCAGAATGTGGGGGAATGAATGTAAATGTGTGTGTCTGTGCCATCTGTGGCCTGTGTGGCATCTGTGGCGTCTGTGTGGCGCCTGTGTGGCGCGTGTCGGTGAGAATGACACATCCGTTCGGCAGGCATGCTGCCGCTGGACTAGAGGGTTCACCCCGAAAATGCAGGCGTGCTTGAGACTTGATCGCTCAACACCCTGCCGTGTGGCCACAAAACACCACCCGATCCACCCTGCTAGATGGTTGGACCAATTGATTCTCTCAAACATCCACAGCAAAGAAAGGCAAAGGGCAACCTGTGAGTGGACAGAACGACTCAATCTCGGGTCTCACTCCGCCCTCTCCGGTCACCCCCACCCGACCCGACCCGGAAACATCACCGACCCGAGGTGTCAGCTTCGCTTCGGGGCCCCCCGGCTCCAACAAGGCCAGGAAGACACGATGAGAGACGTTGTTGATGGTAATCGTCTTCTGTTGGGCCTGGTGAGTGGATCTGGGCACCGAACCGAACCTTGCTCACCTGCCTACAGCTGTCTACACCGCAGAGAAGCGACGAGTATATAAGGAGTTGAGGTCTTTGCGGTTCTTTGGGCGTCATCTCTCAACGGATGAACGCAGGGTGAGCAGATTCCCTCAGTTGACTGGGTTGACCCCCTTGTTTCTTCTGGAAGGCTCGGCTCACACAGCACACCTCACTTGGAGGCCTCATGAGACACTTGGTCTGGCAGAAGTCAACTCCAAACTCCAGAAGCTCCAGACCCTAAGCCTTTTTTGGAGGTGCTTGATCTGTTTGAATCCCGTCTTCCTCCACATGGTCGGTCGAGCTTGCCTCGCGCATCTGTCCGTCAAACATGGCGCGGAAGTAGGAGCACCGCATGCAAAGCAGCTTGTGCGCATAAACCTGGCAGCCAGGATCGCCAGGTTGAGGATCATGTGGCAGGTGGACCAGTGGACTTCCACCCTGATTGCCCCAGTGCCAGCTGAACCTTGCAGTTGTGCCCGAACCTTGCAGTTCGAGGCCTCCGGTAATTTATATTACTGTATATACTTGAGGTACTACATGGAGGCACGAGATGTGTCCTGAAGCTCAGGTTGGTTGGTTGGAAAGTGGCAAAGTCTTGAAACCTCACACACATCAGGATGTCAAGAAGGTATCTGCAAGTAAATGCGGATCATCCAGCCGGGCTTAGCCAAGCTACATCCCAGCAGGGGCCCTGGGGTCACTTGTCGGTGAGACCTTACAACAAACGCTAAAGCTCTGCTGAAGTTTGGTGGTTGCAGGTCCCACCTGTCTGCAAAATAGACATTGCTCTTAATGGGGTGAAAAAAGTGGGACCTCCCAAGACTCCCCCACAATGCGGACAAATCCGCTTCATTCCAAGAAAAAGACTAGGGGGTTCAATGAGAAGAAAAAAACTTGATATTGAAGGTACCCTGGTACCCTGTACCCTTCTTATCCCTGTTTCAACTGAAACTAGGCCACCACATTGATTTTGTTACCATATCTTGTACATGTTCAATTCGCCGGCTCCACGGCTTTTCCTTCGACGATGAAGGTGACATCCGACCTCGCGCGAGGTCGGTGGCGCGCCAAAGGGACGAAGCGAGTCGCGAGGCGAAATGTGGGACGGGGCGCGGTGATGGAGGAACTCCAAGGGTGGTACAAACTATTGAATCTATTGTGGTGACAGTGGTTGCAATATATTGCTATCTACTGTATCTGATATAGTTAGTGATAGTGGCATTTGTCTCCAGGCTTGCTGTCGGCTTACTTTTCTTTGATGATCAACATTGATCTGGGTGTATGTTTTCGCCAACATGACTTGGGACCCAAATGATGCTATTTTCGCTTCGTTCCAGCTTGATCTACTGAGAAAAGAAGAAACATGAGTCATGAGTCAGATGAGAAATGACCCTCACACAAGCAACCTTAAGCAGAAAAGTGGCATGCTGGTCCTTGTTGCGGAGATGGGGGATCCTAAATGATCGAGTGACACATCCAATTGGAGGAAGACCACTGCGATTCCGTGCCCGGACCTGGTCGAACATGCCATCCCATCTAGAGATGCTAAGGCGCTCTCCCACTTTTCCACCAGGCCTCACCGGTCCCAACATCGGTCCCCCCCAAACAAACCACGTTCCATGCGGCGGCTCGCTGCGCGCGGACCCCCGCGGCTCAACGACTTCGCTGCCGCCTGGCACTCCCCCCGAAGCGGCCCGAACCGGGACACCGCGCAGCTTGGCGTCGTTGAGGAAATCCCTCAGGTCCGAGACCTCACCCCCACGGACGCCGCAAAACGCCGCCGCCGCGCGGTCCGGCCACGCGGTGGACGGGTGCCGGCGGCGCCGGCTCGCGGTCGCGGTCGCCTCGCTGGCTCACGGGGCGCCCGGGCTAAGGAGCTGCTTGGGATGTCGATGTTCACCTCCGTGGCCAGCTTGAACCTCGGGGCAAGCACCAATGCAGTACCTAATTCCAGCGCTTGTAGGGTGGAGGCCATCTGCCCAACTGGGCGAAGTCTACTGAACCCCTGGTGGGTGGAGCCGTGGGTGGTTGAGACCGATGGGACGGTCGGTCTGTCCAAGTCTCAGGCGGGGCGTGAGACTCGACACGGCAGTAACTCCGCAACATGTAGCAACATGTCGTTGACAGCGATGGCGCAATGTGTAGTGCTTAGCGACACTTGGCCCATGAGTGTGGTGTTGCGCAGCCAAGCAGCTGCCAGAAGTCATTCAGACGCTGCTGGCCGTCATAGCCGCCGAAGACGTAGAGAGAATTGTTGTACCTCGACGGACGTGGAGACGGACCAGACGAACGTTGCCCAAACGGTTCAACAAACAATGCTCGGTGTACCACGGCATAGATGAACATCCCCAAGGATTAAGGATTCTTGACTCATGAGCTCCGAACTCATGGTGTGCCTGCAAAAACATTGGAAGCAATGACCATGCCCTGTCCGGTTCGGCTGCTTTGAAGTACATGCCCCTTTTTTGGCTGGCTCTTTTTCCCATCAAGCCGGAGAGCCCCTTGCATTCACAGCTTCGACAAAGTATCTGGACCATTTGGAGTGAGTCAAATCCAATGAACCAATCTGCTCGTGGAAAGTTAAAAACGCACAAAAGACTTTCAAATTGCTGGAACATGCCAAGCCCAGTCAAATATATAGTCCCCTTCCATCCTTCACGAAACAGGAGAAAGCTGCTGCCAAGTCATGCACTGAATTCTCACTCATCTGGAAAGCCCAACGACTTGGCATTACTTCATGTGTCTACAAGGCTATTAGGTTGGAGGCCATCGCTATGTGGGGGGAGGCCATCGCTATTACTCCAATCTCGCATCGCAAAGAAACGGATAGACGTGGCTCGTCGAACCAGTTCGCTTTGAGAGCCACGTGTTTTGACGCTCAAAAGAAGCGAACTGCATGGTGTGCACGATACAACTTTAAGGGCCCTGTGAAAACAGATTCAGCTTGCCAAATTCACCATGCCTCCACGGGCGGTTCTGGCTTCTGGGCCACCCCACACATCACACGTGTGGCAGAATCCTTGATCACGCAGGGTGAGAAGAGAGCGCCAAATGAGTGGGCTTGCCAAGGATGACTGGAGTCACTTCAGTCCCGTTCGGCCTGCAAAAAGCCCTGTCGCTGTAAATGAGCCATTTGGGGGACACCTCATCTGAATCATCTGAGTCATCTCCAACCAAACCTTCTCTGTCATCATCATTCTGTTGCCTTCCCCCCCGAGTCACCCCCCGAGTCACCCGCACCACTCCCAAACCAAGCCACGTGGGCAAGGCACGTTCGCCTTCTGCGACGCGCCGGGTGTGGGACGCACCTGCGAACGCTTGGGTGTGGGCTCTGAAGGATTTGGGGATTGTTTCTTGGGTGTTTGGACGAACAATGATGCGGGAGGCGGGTGTGTTGATATTGGAATGGTCATGAATGGTCAATAGTTGTCTTTCTCTTGGCCAATCAGAGTTTGGGAGAATCTCGGAGACAGAACATGTATAAATCTTGGAAGGATGCACAGGTTTGCATCTACCCGCCGTTGCGTCTACCCGTCTATGAACTTTGAAGTACAAATACTCTTTTTGTGAACGAACCTCGAAGTGGAGCAGGGCGATAGTAGTATTATGTAGTACGTTCTACATATAGTATTTCTTCCTTTTCAATGGGTTGATCTATGTCTTCTCCATGCTTGTCTGGTTGGGCTCAAGACTCTTTCAGCCGACGGTTCAGGAGTTTTGTCAAGACTGTCGCATGCCTTCCAAAACGCTTGGGACAGTTGGCGCAAGTTTCGCAACTGCACCAGGTAACACAAAGAAAACACCATATTTACCCTTGCCAGACGTGCAGGAGTTCTTCCGTCAGCAGTACCACCCCGATGCAGAGCCTCCAGCCACTGCTCTGTTTCAAAGCTAAAGGCGTACCTCGACCCGCGGTTCATCTGGTGGGCTGTGGGTACTAGTTACTAGAGGGTCTGCAGGTACTAGAAGCATGACCGACGATGTGCCAGGCCGTAGCTTCGACACCATCTCCCACCGCACTGGTGCCACCGCCCCCGACGTGCGGTGCGCTGGCGGCCATTTCAGGTCACAGGTCGTTCCGCGCGCTGCCGGTGCTGCCGCCGAAGAGGTACATGGAATCCCCACAAATGACCGCCTCTGGCAAGTCAATGGTGCCGGCACTCGATCGAAGAACAGAGAAAAAGACAAAAAAAAAAACAACAAGTAATATGAAACGATCTTTTTCATCACCCATCCATCAAAGAACGCAGTCAATCCAATCTTCTTCATGTTTCCTATGACATGTTCGCATCACACAAGAACCTCTCCCTCGTCCTCCTCTCAGGCCCCCTGGCTGAGTGGGAGTCTCTTGGGGAAGGCGGCGGCACTTGGCCGGTGGTCTCTACCAAACTCCACCTCAGCCGGACCAGTTCGGGGCAACGCTTGGACACCATGAGGTCTCGCAGAATGGGAAGGGGGGTTCTGACGTCGACCACCGAGTCCTGGCGTTCGCCACTGAGGAAGGAAGCGGTAACAAGCGTAGAAACCATCGAGCGTTGACCATCACGAAAGCGCCTGCTTTCCACTTCACCGAAAAACGTTGAAAAACACAACTTCTGCGTCGTTCCCTTTTTGGTTGCCGTTCGCCAGCTCGCTCTCCGCCAGCACGCAGCCAGCAGGCGCGCAGCCAGCAGGCGCAGGGCCCGCAGGGCGGCCGTCCTCGTAAGTTCGAGAAGTCTCTGGCAGTCTTCGATACATATCTCAAAGTTTCATATACAGTAGTTCACACACAGAGGATCCCGAAAGCAAATCGAATCGTCCATCTATTTCTGTGTGACCCCCTGGTTGATGAGATAAGTCGAATGAATGAAAAATAGCAAGCTGAAAAAGGCTGAAGGAAGGTGATAATGAAAGTGTATACATGTCGCAAGCCGAAATATCACGTGAACTGCAACCTCCATCGCCGAAAACCGAGATCACAACAAACCGCGAACAGACTCCATCGCTCCAGACGCACGCCAGAAGAGCAAATACCAAGTACCACAACAGGTACAAACAGGCAGATTCCTACCAGGAATGAAAGGCACTGCATGCACAGCCCCCTCGACCTGTACGCATGTCAACCTGGACGCAGGTGTCATCGGGGAGTTCAGCACCTTACAGTGACCCAGCCAGCAATGCTGCACTGGCGGAAGATGGCCGATTAACTCCGATCTTCTCAAAAGGCTCTCCTGGAAGAGGAATCTGAACACAGAGACTACTGAGCAAGCTCTACATGAGCAGCACCAACTGATGTGCAGCTTCGGATGTCCAGAGTGCAACACATATTTATGTCACTGCATGCTCACGCGGCTGCCTTTTTCAGAAGGGGATGCGGACGAAGTCCTGCCACGTGTTTTCTGCCCGTGGATTGTCCACGGACAGACGTGGGACGTCAGCCACG